AGTTTTTTTTTTCTCAAAAATGTCATTCATTGGAATTGAAATAAGTCCAAAGATTTCTTTTCTTAAGTCTTCAGAAGCATGTCACACTCAATCAGCTGATCTGCGATGTATCTATGACGATCTATGATCTTTGTAAAACCTCAAAGTTTTCGCAGTTCAGGCTAAGTATTTTTCCAAATTTATCCTTTTCTTAATTTCTCCCTGATTAATTTTACGAGAAAAATTCTATGATTATTATAATTTCTTCATTATTTATTGATATTCGTACACCGTGAAATTTCATCCCTAAAACTTTCCCCATACTGTATTTTCTGAAAAACTTTCCCATTTCATTCCCAGCGAAAATATTTTCCCTCGATGCTGGAAAAAAAATATCAGAGTAGCGATCATGATTCAATAGACAGCTTTTGCCATATCTTCATAAAATTCTGAACTAATAAGAAAAAATATGCGCAAAACATAAATGGAACGCATAAATTCTTCTATTGATTACATTGAGATCACTACAGTTTACCGAAAAAAAAGTATATTATATTATACTTTTCTCGTAAAAAGAACCATTTGTTAGCCCTCTTTAAAGGGAATAAGAATAAAGCATTAACAATTATATAACACTAATCCATAAAAGTTAACTCTTGATTTAGAATTCACGTAAGATTGCATTTTTCAAATAAAAATTGTGCACCCATTTAAAAAAAGATTAATCCTTTTTCGTCTAAGAAGTAGTGTAAGAAATTTTTAAACTAAAAAAAAATGTCTTCAAATCCTGCATAAATTATACAGACCTTTAATTACTAAATATATTGAGGAAATAAAAAAAATATAAATTTAAGTACCAAACTTAAAGTAAATAAAATAAATTTAAATTTATTTCTAGAATGAAGTTCTGCAAATTTGAGGCTCCTTATCGGTTAGTGCAGGGGTGGCCAAGTTGTGTGTGGCACGGCAAAGTTGTAACGGTGGCATGCAAAGATTTATTGAAAAACTAAAAAATGAAAATATAACAATAAGAAAAACATTGTTTACAATTTTATCGAAATGTGGTTATTTCAGACAAAAAATAAATAAATAAATAAAACCCACAAAAATTATTTTAAATACACTTATTTGAATTACAATAGAAAATTATAATGTAGAGAGAACACTTCTCATTGTGTGCGCTGCTTTTCCAAAGGGAGTGAACTCACTAGATTTTGGTATTTGAGGGAGTGTGTTTTGAAATATCTGGAAGAAAAGAATGAACTGCTCCCTACGAGTGCTTGCTACTCAAGAATGAAGTTTGCGGTTATGGGATTTAGCCTTTTTTCCCTACCAATATTATGGGACATCTAAATCACTTAAATTTAAAAATATATTCAGGGAAAAGAGATTGTTTATTGCTCTAGTTGGTCATATATCTTTTTGTATGAATAAACTTTTGATTTTTTGTCTCGATTTTGGAGAAAAAAGATTAACACATTTCACATTAATGCAGAAACTATTTGCGAAAGTTAGTAATGCTCCGAGCTGTGATATATTTAAAAATTTACTATCCATTTTGCAAGAATAATTCCGTACAAGGTTAGATGATTTTCGGGATGATAAAAAAAATACTCAGATTTTCACAAATTCCTTTTTAATTTCTCTACAAGCATTAAGTGTTACCCACCTGATATCCAAATCGAATTATTGACGTACAGCCCAATACTGCACTGAAATGCAAATATGAGGAACTTATTTCAACTTTAAGTTATCCAAATTATAAAAAAATTTTGGAAATTAGTACCAACAAGCAGTTTTTCTAAATTTGCACGTTTTGGCTGTTGTTACAAGTTTGGATCAACATATGTTTGTGAACAAATGTTTTCTATAATGAACTTAATAAAATCAAAATATCGCTTAAAATTAAATTATATGCACCTAAAAAATCTAATTTTGTAAGCATCTTCAAGAACTAACCACACACACAAATATAGATGACTTAGCAACAAAAAACTACAATTTCAAAAACCACATTCAGCAGTACTGGCTGTTTAGTAATTATTTAGAATTAAATGTTTCGAGTTACTCAGTTCTATTTTATTCCTAATCTAACTGACTGAACTTGTAAAAAGTTTACGAACAATAAAACCTAAGTTTTTACTTTAGTTAATTTATTATATTATTTTAAAATTTCCTCTAGACTTGCATAAAAAATGTTCTATATG